CACATGCCATGGAGCGGCTGGGCCCGTGAGGCATGGCCGCTGAGCCTGCGCGTCCAGAGCTTGTGCTCTGCAACGGGAGAGGCCACAACAGTGAGAGGCCCGTGTACCGCAAAAAAAAAAAAAAAAAATGGAAGAAGGGACCCAATTTCAGAAGCAACTAAATACAGGAACATAGCAGAAGACAGGGTGAAGGGAGGAATGACCAAAAGGTGCTGGATTTCTAGCCACAGTGCTAGGTTACACGTGACTAAGTTATCCTCTCCTCAGTGAGAGGTAGAGGTTGCCCTGCACATGGAAACATACCTTTTTTATGTGTGTGTAGTAAGATGTACATAAGATTTACTATTTTTTAGTGTATAGTTCAGTGGCATTAAACTCATTCACATTGTAGTGCAACATCACCACTCTCCATCCCCAGAGCTTTTTCATCATCTCAATCTGAAACTCCAAACCCATTAAACAATTCCCCATTTCCCCCTCCCACCTGCCCCTCATAGCCACTGTTCTACTTTCTGTTTCTACAAATTTGACTAATCTAGGTACCTCAAATAAGCGGAATGATGAAATATTTTTCCTGTTATGCCTGGTTAATGAAACATACCTTTTTAATATCCCCTCAAAGTTCCTAAGGAACATGTCAGATGTGCCCCAGGTCATGTCTCAACTAGCTCTGCAAGTAAACCAACGACTTGCTGTTTATCCATCACGGGTTCTGATTCTTCCCTTGAGGGAGATGAATGCAGGCAAGAGGAAGGGGTGCACCTTCTCCCTTCACATTACTTTTGCTGCCAATTTGCCTCCTCTCTTCCCCAGCCTTTTTTTTTTTAAACATTTTTATTGGAGTATAATTGCTTTACAATGGTGTGTTAGTTTCTGCTTTATAACGAAGTGAATCAGCTATACATATACATATATCTGTTCCCCAGCCTTGATCACCACTACCAATGTTAGCTCTACTTGATCACACCACAGCCCTCTTTAACCCCAAAATGGAATGAAATTGCTGCTCTAAAGAGTGAAACTGGGACTTCCCCGGTGGCAGAGTAGTTAAGAATCCTCCTGCCAATGCAGGGGACACAGGTTCGAGCCCTGGTCCAGGAAGATCCCACATGCCGCGGAGCAACTAAGCACGTGCGCCACAACTACTGAGCCTGTGCTCTAGAGCCCGCGAGCCACAACTACTGAGCCCGCATGCCACAACTACTGAAGCCCACACACTGAGAACCTGTGCTCCGCAACAAGAGAAGCCACTGCAATGAGAAGCCTGTGCACCTCAATGAAGAGCAGCCCCTGCTCGCCACAACTAGAAAAATCCCGCGCACAGCAACGAAGACCCAACGCAGCCAAAAATAAATAAATAAATAAAATATATATATTTTAAAAAAAGAGTGAAACCTTTTTCAACAAGCCTTAGGTAGTCTGGCATCTGAACAAGTATGTTTGGATTCATACAGATGGCCATGAACCTCTTTTAATTAACATTTGGACTGGGACTCATTCTGTGATATCGCTTACCTCAGCCTCCCTCACCTATCTGGTCTGTGCCCATGGTGAGATGGATATGCCCTTCCACTGCCCACCATCACCCCACTCTCACCCATATAGTCCTCTGCTTTTCCAGCATCAGGCTTCTGCCCTCCCCCTGGGATTAGGGCCTATTTCATCATTCCCTCTCTATTCAAAGGTATCATCCATCTGTCTAGGGTCCCAATCATTAGTTTCCATGGTCCTTTTTACCATTTCTCTTAGAAGGCCTAAGAGTCTTCATGCAAATCGACCCCTGGTGGTGGCTGTGATCTCCCAGAACTCTCAAGGTGACATGCAGTTGAGCCTCGCCATGACCCATGTGACTCATGAATTTTATTTTTGAAAGAGAGGAAGGAGGGGCAAGTTGAAGACTATAGTTCCATGACCAGACACTGTCAGGGGGCTTTGCTGAAAGGCTCTTGACTATCATAGAGGGTCAAGAGTCTCTCATCCTCAGGGTCTGAAAGTGAACACTGAAAAGGAGGAAAACACATTTTGCTTTGGCAAAAATCAGGATTCAGATCCTGACTCCTTCATCTACTAGGTGGGTGACCTTGGAAAATGATTTAATATGGCTAGCCCACAGTTTTCTTATTTGCAAAACTGGAATAATATAGTATATAGCATATAGGGTACATCGATTTGGAATCGTAGTGGCTGTAAGAAACTGAACTACAATATAAGGGGTTTCAAAAATATTTTTAAAATTTTTCTCTCACCTCAAAGTCCTGAAGTAGAGGGCTTCCCTGGTGGCACAGTGGTAGAGGGTCTGCCTGCCGATGCAGGGGACATGGGTTCGTGCCCCGGTCTGGGAGGATCCCACATGCTGCAGAGCGGCTGGGCCCATAAGCCATGGCCGCTGAGCCTGTGCATCTGGAGCCTGTGCTCCGGAACAGGAGAGGCCACAACAGTGAGAGGCCCGCCTACCACAAAAAAAAAAGAAAAGAAAAAAAAAAAGTCCTGAAGTAGAAAATCCAGAGCTGTTCCACAATGTCCTCAGGGACGCAGGGTCATCTCACTGCTCTCCATTCCTTCTGTGTGGCCCTCACCCTCATGGCCCAAGATGGTGACAAGATTGCACCTGTGTTCCAGGTAGCAGGATGGACAAAGGGATGAAGAAGGGGTAAAGGGCATGTACCAATTTTGAGGAAAATTGCAAGAAGCTGCCATACAACACTTTTGCTTACATCCCATAGACACAATCACACCTAGCTGCAAGAGAGACTGGGAAATTCCAGGCAGCCTTGTGCACAGCTAAAAATTGGGAATCCTGCTACTGCGAAAGGGATAAGGAATAATGGGGGGACATTTTGAGGCTCTGTTACATAAGTTACTTATTGTAAAGATTAAGGTACTCCATCAATAAATGTTGGCTATTTTTTTTTTTCTTTTTTGTGGTACGCGGGCCTCTCACTGTTGTGGTCTCTCCCACTGCGGAGCACAGGCTCCGGATGCGCAGGCTCAGTGGCCATGGCTCACGGGCCCAGCTGCTCTGTGGCATGTGGGATCTTCCCGCACCGGGGCACGAACCCGTGTCCCCCTGCATCTGCAGGCGGACTCTCAACCACTGCGCCACCAGGGAAGCCCAATGTTGGCTATTTTTAATATTCTCCCTTGAGGGATTACTAAGGAGTAACTCAGGGAAGCAGAAATAAGAGTGTCCTCCAACTGAAGAGAAGATGTGGCTTTCATTTTATCCTTTGTTAAGATAATGACTCATCCAGACATTGTGGCCTATGAGGTGCTGACTTAAAATTTTCAAAGTTATTATCTCCTTTACTTTCTAGGGCTCGGCTCACTTTGAAAGTATCTTATTGACTCACTCTTAGCCAATCAGTGTCCTGTGTTGGCAGACTCTCAGAAGGGAGCATACCAGCAACCTAACCAGATACAGTCCCTGAAAGGGAGGACTTTCAAAAGATCTGTGTACCTCCTCATACCCACATCACCACTGTGAGTGTTTCCTTTTCTGTAGAAACTTCCACCATCTAGTGCCCAATTACCACCATCTCCAACATGAATCTGACTTCCCCTCTGCCAGCAGCTTACATTCTGTCTGTGGTATAGATAAGTTCCTGAAGATTCTTGCTTCTTCTCTGTCGTAATATTCTTGCATCACTCACTAACTGAGATGGTCTCTTTCATTCTAGAGAACACCATCCCTCCCAAAGCCCATGATCACACTGAGTGGATAACCGAGGCAGTAGAAGAATTGATCAATTAACTGAGCACAACTAGAGCAGACTTCCAGAACTGCAAGGACATGGGGGTCAGATTCCAGTCTAGTAGCCTTCAAGAGCAGAACCACTTCCCATTTTTTCCTATTGAAATATTACATTGTATCTCAGTGTGTAAAACTGATAACAGCAGAGTTGATCTGATTGAATGAGGGGAGAGCCCAAAGCCCAGCCTACCCATCTTGCCTCTTACCAAGCACCTTCACTCCTACATGAGAAGTCCCTGGGTATCTCCAAGGAACTCCAGGGCTCACTCTACTAACCTCAGTTTGAACATCCTTATTCTGGTAATTCTCTTGCTTTAAGAGCTGGTCGTGGGAAGGGGATAGAAAAAAGTTTTAGAATCAGACAGTCCACATGTCGAGATCTTACTAGCTGTGTGACTATTGGGCCTCAATTTTCCCATTTGTAAAATGGAGATGATGAGTGCTGCTTTCCTGCATTGTAATAAGACTTAAAGTGAGTTTATGAATATAAAGTTCCCAACACAGCGTAGGTTCTCAATAAATGCTAGCTCCCTTTCTTCGTTTCCTTCCCCTTAAGGTAAGATGACATCTAGCACACCTTTAACGGATGTTTAGCATCGTTTGCCTACCACACTGACCACTGTGTGTGTAGATGAGTGTGCCTTTATGCACGCGTCTAAAAAGGTACAGGCCACTGCTGGGTAGTTTTAGGTCCTGGCAGCTAATGATTATTGTAGTTTGTGAAAACTGTCCTCAGGCATTAACAGAGCTAATGAAAGTACTATCAGATAAGGCCGTGACATAGATTGAATGGATTGGCTTCTTACGTTTTTTTTTTTTCTTTTTTTTTGGTGGTGGCACGCAGCATGCAGGATCTTAGTTCCTCAACAAGGGATTGAACCCGTCCCTCCTGCAGTGGAAGTGCAGTCTTAACCACTGGACCACCAGGGAAGTAAGTCCCTGTTTGAAAATATGAATCAAAGAAAAATTGGATTAGCCTGGCTATCACAATAAAGAATAAAGAAGAAGTAAAGAATAGTTTCTTGAATGTTGCTGAAGAAATAAAGAATAGTTTCTCCAACTCACCAGTAGGTGAGCTGGGGCTACTCTTCATTGTGTTGTGTGGGCTTCTCATTGTGGTGGCTTTTCATTGCGGAGCACAGGCTCTAGGTGCACGGGCTTCAGTAGTTGCAGCACGATGGCTCAGTAGTTGTGGCTCATGGACTCTAGAGTGCAGGCTCAGTAGCTGTGGCGCACGGGCTTAGTTGCTCTGCGGCATGTGGGATCTTCCTGGACCAGGGCTCGAACCCACGTCCCCTGCATTGGCAGGTGGATTCTTAACCACTGTGCCACCAGGGAAGTCTCTTTGGGCAGAGCAGCCAGAGTACCCTCATGCTCAGTATAAGGCACTTTGGGTCACTTTATATAAAGGTCAAGTGAGGGGGAGGGAGCCAGTCAGGCCAGAGACCAGCTCCTCAGCATGGGATTCATGAATCCCATCACTAAGAGGATGGCTCAGGCCTGGTATCTGAAGGAGTTTACTAGTTTCAGTCCTAATTCTAGGATCAGAGAGCAGGGCACAATGAATAATGGTGGTTGAAGAAGGCAGAACAATGGTCCCCAAAGACATCCACATCCTATCTCTGGAACCTATGAATATGTTATATTACATGGCAAGGGGGAATTCTGGAATTAAGGCAAGGTTGCAAATGGAATTAAGGTTGCTAATTGGCTGACCTTAAAATAAGGAGATTATTCTGCATTACTGAGGTGGGCCCAATGTAATCATAAGGGTCCTTAAATGTGGAACAGGGAAGCAGAAGAGTCAGAAGGACATGTGATGACGGAAGTAGAGGTTGGAATGTTTCAGTGTGAGGACTCAACCTCCCATTGCTGGCTTTGAAGATAGAAGGGGGCCAGGAGCCAAAAACTGCAGGTGGCCTTTGGAAGCTGGAAAAGGTAAGGAAACACTGTCCCCTCCAGGGCCTCTAGAAAGGAACACAGCTCTGCTGATACCTTGATTTTAGCCGGGACCCATTTTGGTTTTCTGACCTACAGAACTCTAAGGTAATAAATTTGTGTTGTTTAAGCCACCAAGGTTGTAATAATTTGATACAGAACGTTAGAAAACTAATACAATGGGTTATTGGCAAACACTGGGAGATTATACAAGGCAGTGGGGAGGGGCATCCATGAGCCCAGCTGTGGGAAACTAAATAGCACAGAAGCTGGGGAGGTAAAGTCCAATGTGTCAAGGCTAACAAGAGTGATCTCTCTGGCTCATTGGCTCATTTCCTGGGTAAGTTGGAGACGGCCACTCCTTACCCCTTCAAGCCTGCAGAAGGAGGGCAAAAGGCATCGTGGGCACACTTTCCCAAAGTAAGACTTTCGTGCTTTTCCTAATCAGTCACCAAATGATCCTGGGAACAAATAGTCTCCAGAGACCCCACTATAGTCCCTGTTGGGGAATCCTGCAGGTGTCCTGACACTTACACCATCAGGATTGCTTCTCAGGCACAGACTCACATGTCCCTGTGAGCACCTGTCTTCCTCTTACAGATTCTTGGAAACTCAGTGTATTTTGCTTTCATCCTCAGAGCTGAGAATAAAAGGAAATATTTCACCAGGTGCAAGAAAATACCACAAGATGATAGCATTATTAATGATAACAATAGATAGCATTTGAGATTCCTAAGCACACTTCACAAAAATGTTACAGACCTCACTTCTTTTAATCATCATGATCATCATAATCCCATAAGGTGCGCACTGTTGTTATCTGCATCTTACATATAAAAGAACTAAAATCCAGAGAGATTAAGGAGCGTGCCCCAAACCACAGCCCTAGCAGGTGGTAACTCAGCTCAGTCTTACTCCAAAGCCATGCACTTAGGTATTTTATCACTGCCTTCCCGGGCCTTGAGTACCACACTGCTCCAGAACTAGCTGCAGAATGGGAAGCTCCAGCTTCCTGTAGTTCTCCCAACACCAGGGCAGAGATTTTTGACTGAAAATCACTTCCAATAATAAAATAACAAACATGGTTCAGAAATCTAACAGCATTCTTTCAACTCTAACTCTCATGCCACATTGGTGCACTAAGTGACATTCCCTTCTTAGGCTCCCAGTCAAATATATCCATTCCCATCCCCTCTTCCCTATTTCCTCTCAAACCCCATTTGCCATGACTAGCAGAGGAGAGAAAGAAAAAGGAGATAGGGTAGAGGAAGAGGAATTGGACTGAGCAGGTAGAAAGGTAAGAATCCTGAGCCCTATGTGAGGATGGACAGCACTGGTGCCCACAGGTCTAGAAGCTGAAGGCTGGGGTCCTTAGTTCAGAGTCAAGACTAGTTCCCAGCTTAAGCAGCATACCCCATGCCTTCTCTTCCTGTATGCCTCGACCCTATTCCTGCTTGGGTTTCCCGGATCTATCTTACCAGAGGTAAAGAGGTAAGCCATAGGAGAGAACATGAAGAAAAATGAAGAAAAAAGGCAGAGAGATTCAAGAGAATGCTGCTCCAGTTCAAATTCATATACAATTTCTTGACTGCTTCCTCCAAAAATCTCCTCCTCTGCTGAAAAGCTCCATCCCTGCCATACTGGCCCCTGCTTTGTGCCGTTAAGGATTCCATTCTGTCACTGGCCTACATCAGAGCTCTTCTCTCTGGGAAAAAATAGATGTCAGTCTAGGAGCCCAGACATTCATTCAACAAAATCATTGAGCACCACTGAGTAGACAGTGTTCTAGGCACAGGCGGTAGAGAGATGAACAAGAAGGATGTTCTCACCAAAATGAATCTTTCAGGAGCAAAGTCTTATGTAAAGGAATCCAGAAAGCCTTTCTAAAGCAGAAACAGCCAGATACTCAGGCTAGGCTTTGAAACAGACTGAAGCACTCACATAAACTCTAAAGTTCCTTAAGCCTGGCAACCCAGATCCTCCAAGTGTATGCTTGATCTTATAAGGACCCAGGCCATCATGCAAGGAAGATAAAGGTTTCATCTTAGATGCCAGCTCTGATTGACTAGTAGTGATTGCCCAGGGTCCTGTGTTAAGAAAGATCAGGAAACTCCATTTGGGCTCAAGCAGGAAAAGGCGCTATGATAGAGTAACCACGTCTGCCACATATATTTAACGAATGAGTGATGGCAAATGTGCTACAATTACTATCCCAGCCTAAGGTGGATAATCGTACATTTTTCACAGTTGTTGCATACCTGTTCATTTCCCAGCTAGGCAACAAGCTCTAGGGAAGGCAGCATCATACCGTGGAAGGAGCACTGGAAGCTGAGCAGAAGAGCTTTTCTTTCTCTTCTGAAAGGTAGCTGATGGGATGGAATGAGGTGTCCAGAATCAGAGAGACAAGGCTTCGGAGCCAGGCATTCCACTCCTCCACGAGTTGTCTGATCCTGCACCTGGCACAGTTGATTCTTGTTTTTCTTGGTAGTTATGTTCTATAAATCTCTGTAAACACTGAATTAGCAAATACTGAACTATTACTCATAGGGGAAATACAGGGTTAGGTTCCTGCAAGCCTCAGTCACAACATTTTTGCAACCAATCAATATATAACTACATAACTTTGTTTTATGTATGCTTCTGCTTAAAGATGTCTTATTTAATATATGTTGACTCATTAACATTGAACCCATAGCCAATAGCACTATAGCTGTTCACACCTGAACATAGCTCATCTAACACATGTTTTTCTCTGTAAGGCACATCACAGCTGCTTGCACTTAGGAAACACTAGGTAGCCCTTCAACATTATGATTCAAGGCCATTTTAAACAGCAAAATCACCATTAAACAGCACAAAAAGGTGAAAAACGTGGCACTAAGTAAACTACAAAAGGGAAACTTGTTTACAGCGTCAGAGCTGAAACAAGAAGGGGGAGCGTTGCCTTGCTTGCCTCAGCTGGGAACAAGCACATTGGAAAAATCAATTTTTTCACTGCTCTGCACTGTCTGTGAATGACTTAAGTGCCAAGAGCATAAATTTGGGGTTACAAATAAATTTTAGTGAGTAGGCAAATTTGCAAATACAGAACCCACAAATAATGAGGATGGACTGTACTTACCCTCTGTGAACCTCAGTGATGGTACCTCCCTCACACTACAGATTAAATGAGAGAAGGTGTGTAAAATGCTTCACATGATTCCAGTTAGTTCTTCTTTATTCAAAATATTTGCATTTTTCACCTTCTGTACCTTGTTGGCCATGCTCAATCCACAGAGATAAGTAGATACCAAGAGATTTCCTGTCGAATGTGCCATCCTTATCCCTGGAGCATAAATCAAAAACTACTCACACAAGCTCAAGTAGAAAGGGAGGTATTTTGATGGAAGCAACCTAAGTGCCCATCAACAAATGAATGATAAATCCAGTCAAATCTGTTTAGCCTCTTTATGCCTCATTTTGTTTCCTCAAAATGTTTACCAGTCTGTTTCCTCCTTTTGAAAATGGAGACCATAATAATACCTACCTCAACATTGTTTTGAAGGTTAAATGAAATGATTTCCCTGGTGGCGCAGTGGTTAAGAATCCACCTGCCAATGCCGGAGACACAGGTTCGAGCCCTGGTCCAGGAAGATCCCACATGCCGCGGAGCAACTAAGCCCGTGCGCCACAACTGCTGAAGCCCGTGCACCTAGAGTCCATGTACCACAAGAAACAATAGCCCTCACTCCCCGCTACTAGAGAAAGCCCACACTCAGCAAAGAAGACCCAATGAAGCCAAAAATAAATTAATTAATTAAATAAAAATTTTTAAAAAGTGCTCAGGACAGTGCCTGGCACAGAGAAAGTTCTCAAAGCATGGTAGCTATCCTATTAATATGATCTTAGAAGAATCTTCTCAAGAGTGTCTGGAGATTCAGATAGATCAGAAGAATGACATTGGAAAAGGCTGGAAAACATCCACTGGACTGTGATTCAAGGATGTCTTTGGGAATCTTGATGAGTTTCAATGGTGCAGTGGAGGCAGAAGCCAGAATGGGTGCAGGGGAGGACTAGAGGGGATAAATGGGCTGTGAAGAGGTAGATGATGATGGGCATACAGGAGTTCATTGTACTGTTCCTCTACTTTTCTGGATATTTGAAGATCTCATAACAAAGATTTTTTAAAAGACAAAAAAAACACAAAACAAATGAAAGATAAAGAAGATGTGGTATATATATACAATGGAATATTAGTCATTAAAAAGAATGAAAAACTGCCATTTGCAATGATGTAGATGGACCTAGAGGGTATTATGCTTAGTGAAACAAGTCAGACAGATAAAGACACATACTCTATGTTGTCACTTATATGTGGAATCTAAAAAAATAAAACGAATGAATATAACAAAACAGAAAGACTCACAGATATAGAAAACAAACTAGTGGTTACAGGTGGGGACAGGGTGGTAGGGGATTAAGAGATACAAACTACTATGTATAAAATAGGTAAGCAATAAGGATATATTGTACAGCACAGGGAAATATAGCCATTATTTTCCAATAACTTTAAATGGAGTACAATGTATAAAAATACTGAATTGCTAAGCTGTACACCTGAAACTAATATAATGTTGTAAATCAACTATATTCCAATTTTAAAAAAAGCAAAAAGAAAAGGAGGTATTTTGAACAAAAGGCACTCTCTGGGGGCACTAACGTGCAGGGGTCAGCACAGCCAGAACACCCTGGGATGGGACTGAAACAGGAAGGTTAGATGTAGTCCCAGCTCTCAAATGGCTGCATCATCTGCCATCCCTGCTTCTCCCTCCGTGTCTGCTATACTTTCCTGCTTCTCTCAGCAGACAGGTTTCCTCTCCTTCTGGCTTCCTTACACCCCCATAATTTTAGCTCATGTGTGGTTCTGGCTTCCACAGAGCTGATTCCCGCCTGACTCCACATGGCTGGTGCATACCTGTAGTCTTTGCCTGTCTAGCACCATCCTCCCACTTCTGTTAACAGAGGAGCTCACTGTACATCAAGTTCCAGGATTGGCCTGTGACCGAGGCCTGGCCATTGACTCTCTCTCCTGAGAATTTGATGCTTTCTTAGGTATCTTCTATCACTTTTGTCATTACTCCGTATATCTTTTTGCTGCCTCGTGGTTTTTGTTTGCTCAGAGCTCTTGTTTATTCATGGTTTCCGCTTACCCATGAAGTCGGGATACTGCCTACTCTCCATGTCTTTCAGCTTCTGCTCTCACTGATGATGATGATGATGGTTTTTTCTCTCCAATTCTGATTCCTGAAAGAAAAAAAATCATTGGAAGAGTTAATTGCCATTTATTCGGGCGAAACTTTCATGCCAGGATACTCTAAAGGCTAATGTCCAGCCTATTGATCAGCTGCTCCCAGGTAAGTGCCTGCCATTGTCCAACAAGCTGGGCAGAGTTGTAGGGGTAAGAGGGGAGCATATGGTATTAAATGTGGTCACCTATGTTTAAAAATTTATGTCAAGCTGGTTTTCCAGATGCCTATCTTTTTCTGTCACCCCAAATCCAATCTATGAAGAAATCCTATTAGCTGTAGTTTCAAAATATGTTTAGAATGTAATCACTTCTCACCATTCCCACTACTACCACTTTGCTCCAAACCACTCTGCCTCTCACTCGCATTACTTCAGTAGCCATTTGCTTCTATGCATAACCCATTCCCAACATAGTAGCCAGAGTGATTCTTTTTTTTTCTTTTTTACATCTTTATTGGAGTATAATTGCTTTACAATGGTGTGTTAGTTTCTACTGTATAACAAAGTGAATCAGCTATATATATAGATATATCCCCATATTCCCTCCCTCTTGCGTCTCCCTCCCACCCTTCCTATCCTACCACTGTAGGTGGTCACAAAGCACAGAGCTGATCTCCCCGTGTGATGCAGCTGCTTCCCACTAGCTATCTATTCTACATTTGGTAGTGTATATATGTCAATGCTACAGAGTGATTCTTTTAATACCTAAATCAGTTCATATCATTCCTTTGCTTCACACCCTGCAATGGCTCCCCATTTCACTCAGAGGAAGAGCTAAAGACCTAGCCTCCATTATACTTTGACCTCATCTCTCCCACTTTCCCCCTTGCTCACTCCACTTCAGCCACACCTGCCTTCTTGCTTTTCCTCTAATATTCCAGGCACGCTCCCACCATAGGGCCTTTGCTCTAGCTGCGCCATCTGTCTGAAGCACACTGCCTACAGTTACTCGCTTAACTAACTCCTTTAGATCTTTACTCAAATCTCACTTTCTCCACAAGCCCTGCCTGACCAATCTGTTCAATACAACTGTAGTACTAAATACATTACAGTAAGTTCTGCAGTAGTAAATACTACACTTCCCCACATATCCATTCCCTCTTACACTGCTGTACTTTTTGTTCCTGCACTTATCACTTTCTAACATACTATATAAATTACACTTATTATTTATTGCCTGTCTCCTCCTGCTAGAATGTAAGCTCCACAAAGACAGAGATCTTTGTCTATTTTGTCCCCTGATGTATATTAAAGATTTAGAACAGTGCCTGGCCCAAGCACTCCATAAATATTTGCTGAATTGAACTGAATTCCTCGGTAGGGAGCTATAAACATGGTAGGTACACTAAAGCTTTTCTATGCAACATAAAATATCTCTTTCAGTGAAATTTATACATGTAAGTATACATATTAGAAAAGAGAAAAAGTCTGTGATCAATAATCTAAGCTCCCATTCAAGAATCTAGAAAAAGAGCAAAATAAACCCGAAGCCAAAGGAAGGAAATAACAAACGTAAGAGCAGAAATCAATGAATTTGAAAGGAATACTATGAACAGCTCTATATACATAAATTTGACAATGTAGATGAAATCGACCAATTTCTTGAAAAACAAAAACTAATGCAACTCACCCAATATGAAATAGATCGTTTGAATAGCACTATTCAAGAAAATAGAACTATTAATAAAATTCACTACTTACCTATCAGAAGGGGTAAAATAAAAAGTAAGGATGCAGAGAAACCAGACCACTCATACAATGTGGGTAGGACTACAAAATGGAACAGCCACTTTGGAAAACAGTTTGATAGTTTATTTTAAAACTAGACATGCAATCACCATTTAACCCAGCAATTGCACTCCTGGGTGTATATACCAGAGAAATTTTATGTTCACAGAAAAATCTGTACATTAATGTTTATTGCCGCTTTACCTGCAATAGCCAAAAGCTGGAAACCCAGGTGTACTTCAAGGGGTGAATAGGTAAACAAACTGGGTATATCCATTCATGGAATATTCAACAACAACAACAAAAGAACACATTATTGATACATGCAAAATCTGGATCAGTCTCCAGAGAATTATGCTGAGTGAGAAAAGCCAAAAATACATATCACCTGATTCCATTTGTAGAACATTCTTGAAATGATAAAATTACAGAAATGGAGAACAAATTGATGGCTGCCAGAGGTAATAGCCTGGGCTGGGGTGAGGAGAATGACAGGAAGGTGAATATGGTTATAAAAGGGCAACATAGACATCCTTGTAGTGATGGAAATGGTCTGTATCAATACGAATATCCTAGTTGTGATACTGTACTATAGTTTTGCATGATGTTAACAGTAGGGGAAACTGGGTGTATTAGTCAGGGTTCCCTGAAAAACAGAACCAATAAGATATATAGATATTAGATTACAGATACAGATATAGATATAGACACAGACATAGAAATAGACATAGACACAGACAAAGATATATAGATATATAAGAAGAGATTTATTATAGGAACTGGCTCACACGGTTATGGAAACTGAAAGTCCCATGATCTGCTGTCTGCAAGCTAGAGAACCAGGAAACCCAGTGGTGTAATTCAGTCCAAGTACTAAGGCCTGAGAACCAGGAAGGTCAGTAGGGTGAGTCCAAGTCCAACGGCCTGAGAATGAGGGGGCCAGTGGTTTAAGCCTCAGTGTTAGTCCAAAGGCCCGAGAGCCAGGAGCACCAAGGTCCAAGGGCAGGAGAAGATGGATGTCCCAGCTCAAGCAAAGTAAACAAATTCACCCTTCCTCTACCTTCTTGTTCTACTCAGGCTCTCAATGGATTAGATGATGCCCACCTGCCTTGGTGAGGACGATCTTCTTTACTCAGTCAACTGATTCAAATGTTAATCTCTTCTGGAAACATCCTCACAGAGGCACCCAGAAATAATATTTTACCAGCTATCTGGCACCCCTTAGCCCAGGCAAGTTGATACATAAAATTAACCACCACACTGGGTAAAAGGTACAAGGGATCTTTCTGTATTATTTCTTACAACTACACGCTAATTTATAATTATCTGAAAATAAAAGATTTAATTTAAAAATACCTTTCTATTTTAAGATACCATGGGCTACATTTAGTAATAGCTATTTGGGGGGTAGGGGGAGAAGAGAAATACTTTATTAAATTTAATCGATTATAAAACTGCATCTCGTTTTAGAAATGTTAAAATGTGGAAAAAGTTATACCTTAGAAACTAAGAAATATATTAAGTGTGCATGTTTATTTGTATAATTATAAACATCAGACATAGGAAACCACATGAAAGTAAAGATACCAAAATAGTATCCTCTAAATGGTAGGATTTTAGGCATTCTCTCTCTTTTTGTTTTTAGCTTATCTGCATTTTCTCATTCTTCTGCAATGAACACGTATTACTTGTGTAATTTTCAAAGCACAGCATATTTTTAAGACATTATTTAGATCAACCCTTAATCCATTGCTCAAAATCCTGCAACCAATCCCCAAACGACTAGTTATTTCGGTCTATTCACATCATAGAAATCAATACCTCCCAAAGCAGCCCAGACAACTGTAATTATTGGAAATGAGAGTTATTGAAAGCAAGCCTGTGCCTTCAGAGGGCTTAAGGACATGGATTTGGTCCCAGTACAGATCAATTAACTTGGCTTATTCATAGAGGAAAATCGTAAATGTACACCACCCCCATGGTTCACAAGGGCCAGGCACTACTCAAACATTATCCACAAGAGACACAAACATGTGAAAGCAAACAGCCGATGCAAATCCATCTCTGCTAAGCACGCCTTCTCACACTGGGCAATTCCTCATTTCCTCAAATGGTCAGCAGGAAACATAAACAGATTTTAAAATAGTTGTTACAATCAATAGCCAGATTGAAACTAAGGTGTGAAAAAGCAATCTCATTTGCAACCAAGACCCCAAATCCCCATTAAAAACTTTAGTGTCAACCTTCCAAGAACTGTAAAGAAAACTACAGAACCTAATAACACATTGAAAGGAAATCAGACTATATGGAGAGCTATCCCTGCTCATGACTGGAAAGACTAAACAAATGATACAGTAACACTTCCTATTCACAGATTTAATGCAATGCTAATTAATGGGGCATAAAGAATTTTACGAAAGAACTTGACAAAATAATTATAAAATGCACCTGAAGAGAAGCACACAAAAAGGTTAGTGTTCTGGGAGGAGACAAGATAATGCTGCAGAACATCACTTTCCTGGATTTAAAAACATTGTGATATCGTACAGAAGCGATGATCAAAACTCTTGGGCAGTTCAATTCCCAACTGAAAGGGCTATTCTGAGTTAGCATGGTGAAGAGGTGAGGGAAGAGGCCAGCTCTAAAGACCAGTCAGAGGCAATAGGTGTCTTGGGGGGGCTTTTTTGTTTCTAGGACACAGGGACCTCCTTCAAGGTAGCTCAAGTAAAAGAGGGCTTATTTTAAGGCTGCAACAAGCAATTTCACCACATCTAAGGATGGAAACAGAACAGCTGGACCTCACTGCACTAAAATTATGAACCAAGGCAACTCTCTCCATATCTCAAGAACCCTCCCTGATGCCCCCCTAGTACTCACTAGGTCTGAGCAGTAGTTGGGTGACACCTCACCCCACCTCCTGTCTGCCCTGCAGTCCCATCTCCCCAAAGCAGTGGCAGCCCTGGAGGATGTTCAAAACACCTCTTCAATTTTATTCTCCCAGTCTTATACGTAGTAGCTGCTTCCTGAAATACAAATCTCTGGTTTTCCTAGCTTCCCCTTATTTGTATTTACAGCTTTCCAACAGCTGCCTAACAAACTCCCTGAATTTAATCCCTTCTGTTTAACATGTCCACAGTGGTTTCTATTTTCCTGACTAGACCCCAATTGCTACATTGCCAATTCCAAGGCTGACCTTAGTTTGGTGTTTTTTGTTTTTTGCTTTTTTTGGAGCCAGGTGTGCAAATCACAAGCTGTTTCTCTTGTGAGCAGGTATCCACCTCTGGTCCAAAAAATCATGTCCAGGGCATGGCTATTTTCAGCAAATGGTCTGTCACCCCAAACTTTCTGGTGCAGCTGAGAATAGGACAACCCAGAAGCTGGTGGACCCGGGTGTGAGTGGGCAGTTTGGGGGTGGAGATGACTGACAATTGAGGAAGGACTACAAAGAGACTTGAGCAGAGTTAACCAAACACAGAAAGAGCAAAGTCTGAAATCAGAAATCCAGAAAGAAATCAGTGACAGGTAGTCACTGTGGGAAACCAATGGGGTTGAAAGCCAAAGGTAGGTACAGGTACAGTTGCAGTCACAGGGAGTAGATTCCAGGAACAGGACTTAGACAGACTGGAACAAAAGTGGGCATTTCAGAAATGTCAGGGACAGATATGCAGAGACGTGCTTGCACAGAGGGCCGAACAGTGTTAAATATAGTCACATAAAGGGATTTGAGAGCAATCGCCATTTATCTGAGTTT